AATAGCTACAGAAAAATTCCCAGGAGAAGACTTTATAGATCATGACTGGCTGATGTAATGACTGTCATGTCTTTCCAGGTGTTGGGGGGAATGTTTATACAGCTTTCTAATTTAGTTTTTGCAAGATGCTAGATAGCAACAATATATATTTCTTAACGGATAGAATTTAAGAATTCATCAGAATTATCACAGAATTAGGTAATGTTTAATCCATGAGGATATGTAGAGCATTTTTTCATAAGTCAATATGAGAAGCTGCCATTTGTCACTTGACTTGATGATGATGTATCTTTCTGTTTACCTGTATGATTTCCCTATTAGATGTTCTTCCTCTCAAACAATGGAGTTGGGTACTTATCACACCCTGCCAACTTGTATCCAAGAAAACTGCTTGTTTTTGAAAGTTTTGAGGTTATAAAGATGTTATTTTATGATTAATGCTGGCAAACCAAAAGGTTGTTTGTAGCTCATGGATCTATTGCAGTTAGCCTCAGTGAACTTTCTGCAGAAGTGATGAATGCTAATGGTTTTCAGGGCCAAACATGAGAACGATTAAGGGCTATTGTCTAGTGATAACTGGTGAAAGTCTAGGTTGGTGACCAAGGCATTGTAGATATGAGGCCTGGGGGTAGCCATTTGCAGAATGCTGCAGCTCTGAATCATTTTCAGAGTTCCTTTCCTAGGATTGTACTTCTATGGGACCACAAATGGGCAAGCCTTTATGGCTAACTCAGACTTCGGTGCATAGTTTAGATCGTCATGAATTTGTGACATTGTACTTTAAAAACCCATGGCAAGGCAGGTTCTGTAGGTTTCCCTTGTTGGCAAAAGATGCAAACTCACAAAAACAATAAAACTATTTGTCGTTTTCCTTTTCTTTGCAATATGGCCATTATGATAGAATGACATCACAAACTACGATCTCCAAATGACTTAAATGGATATTTTTCCCCTGTAATTAGGGGGCATGGCTATCCTTCTCTATGGCCATCAAAAAACTGTCAGCAGCCACTTGATGTCAGCAATGAGTTTACATTCAAAGTAATAGATGGGATTCTTTCAGGTAATTCCTGTACTTTCAATTTGGAACAGTGTGGTTTGATATCAATAAGTTGTCATGTCAGAAGACTAAGAAAATATATATAAATTTGCAAGTTAGCTTAATTTGGGTGAAAAACAACAATGAAAGGAGGAATGGTTAACATGATTACTTGTTTCATGTTCAGATTTCAGTAAGATCTTTAAATTCAAGTTTGTTCACTTGGGAGGTGATGAAGTTGACCCAAGTAAGTTCAATAGTTATATTTTGCTATCACCATTTTTGTATTGATTGCTTATTGTTTATGGAACATTTATTATTATTATTATTTTGTTTCTTAGCATCTGGGGATTTTCTTTCCTTTTATCATGTCTTTTCTTCTTTTATTTTATGGTGTATGTGTTGAAACATGATATTTGATGTTAATGAAAATATAGGGGCCACAGTTTACTTGCTTCTGCTTGCTCTTAATTTTTGAAATATATATCTAGATGGAGCTTCATATTATTGACACGCAACTGTATGAGTCCTTTTCAGGTTGCTGGACAAAAACTCCCCACATAACAAAATGGTAACAATCCCATGAATTCTACATGCAAAGTAACTGATGTTTCTTTTCTTTTCTCTTCTTTTCTTTTTTCTGTAGGCACCAAGTATATATATCACATTATTATCTTTGTGCTTGATGCCCACAACCATATTTTCCTCCTTTTGTAGTTAATCCATGTGGATTTACGTGGGTACTGTGTGCTTGCTGTACATGACATCACCGTTACATTCTATGCCAATGTTATTTTATGATTACTGCTATTATTGGATTTCCTGAGAAATAAATAGCATGTCAGACTCACAGCTATTTCTTTTAGTTTTTGTTTTCCTCCCATTCCATGTAACTTAAAAGAGCATGCAATTGTAACAAAAGAGAGAGGGCATGTAAATTGTATTCGTATTGGATGTTGTTTGACCTTGACCTGATCAAGATACTGTCTATTCTGAAACCTGCAGGTTAAAAGAGCATAGAATGAATGGATCTCAAGCTTACCAGTACTTTGTCTTGCGGGCACAGAAAATAGCTTTGTCCCATGGATTTGAAATTGTTAACTGGTACGAACAATTCTGGATAAGGTTAGATATCAAATTTCATTGGTTTTATATCTTATCCAATCATGCAATGTAACAGGGAGGAGACCTTCAATGGCTTCAGAAATAAATTGAGCCGGAAGACAGTGGTGCACAATTGGTATGCCATGCTTTCTGCATAATTTCATAAAATGACCTTGTCATGATGCATCTTAACATGGCCACCCTGTAGATCAGTAAATGAACAAATATAAGCATCATTTATCCATGATGCAACCGTCTATTTGCTTGCTGGACTTGTAGTATTGAGAGACTAGAATCAAGATTATACAAAAAATGGGAAAAGCTCCCCTGTGCAGAAAATAAATTTTGGTTAATCGATACAGCTAAACTTGACTTGATAAGGGTGTTAAGATGTTTTAGTCCATCTGCAATGCTAACTGTGACAAGTAATTTTTATATGCTAGAAAAAGTCAAATGTAGTAGTTGGTAAAGAGTGTGGATCTCGGTACTATTCATTCTCACTACTTACATGTTTGCTAGTTCTGAAAAGTGACATCTGGTTCACCTGGTCGAAGTCCATTAATGTTTAGATGAGAACTTCATTAACTCTTTCTCTCTGTGAATTATTGTTGAACCAATTCACATTTTGTAATCACAATTAAAATTACTTTAGATATTAGACAATCAGTGAACATTGTTGAGTTAATTACACTACGAAAACAAAAATGTTCTGGACTCCTTTTCCACCAAGCAAATAGATCTTAGAGATGATTGTATTTGCACTGCTATAATAATTTTGTTTGTCCTTACATTTCGGGCACACTTCATCTTTAGCATACAATTTTTTTTGCAGGCTTGGAGGTGGAGTTGCTGAGCAAGTGGTTGCATCTGGGCTGAGGTGCATTGTGAGCAACGAGGACAAATGGTATCTAGATCACTTGGATACTCCTTGGGAAGAGTTCTATAAGAATGAACCACTTACAAATATAACAAAACCCGAGCAACAGAGTTTAGTTCTTGGGGGGGAAGTATGCATGTGGGGAGAAAAAGTGGATGGGTCAGACATTGAACAAACCATATGGCCACGTGCTGCAGCTGCTGCAGGTATTTATTGTATATCATGTCAATTGACAACGAAATTGCTGAGACGTTGCAACATATTCATATTAAGTTATGCAGTTTTCCTGTTTTCAACACTATGTAGTTGCGTGATGGTCATTGGAAAGGATTGTGCGGTGACACAAACAATAATATAAATCTGATTTGATACTAGCTTCCTAGTCACATAAATTGGTCACAATCTTGGTGAATTTACTACTGTTGAGCTTAAGGGTTCATGAAACTATACGCTTTGGGGATGCTTCTGTGTATTAAGAGATCTGCCTTTCCATCCCAAAGGTGGTTTTATTTGATAGATGGTTATCACTGCTAACATTCATGGACCAAGGCAGGTGACTGGTAGTCTCATTTGAAGAGGCACCAGATGATGCCTTGAGTGATTTTTAGAGTTGACTAGTTTTGATCTTTTTTAGAATCCTCTTAGAGGTACTTCTTGAGAAACTTTTTCATCATTATAGGAGAGATAAAGACTTCTAACTATACATCTTTCTTCCCTTTGTTTTTAAGCTCAGCATGTCAAATCTTCCATTTTTTTGTAACTGCTCTCTACTCACCTTATCTTTCTATGCGAACTGTATCTTCACTTTAAAATAACGATTTTATTCTCTCTGTTTTCTGTTCCTATGTGATTGAAGAGCGGCTATGGACACCTTATGACAAGCTAGCGAAGGATCCAGAAAAAGTTGCTGGAAGGTTAGCACACTTCAGGTGTTTGTTGAATCAAAGAGGGGTTGCCGCAGCTCCTTTAGCTGGACCAGGCCGAGGAGCACCTATAGAACCAGGTTCTTGTTATGTACAGTAATGACTACAAACACATCTCTAATTCTTGAGGGTGAAATGCAGTTGATTCAAAATCACCCCCGGATTTAAGGAACACGTAATAATGCATCCTGGATATATCCAGGTGGCGTCTGGTTCGATTTTTATGAAAATGGTCCAAAATGGTCTCACAAGGTCTGTCATGTCCTTTCGTTCTTGAAGTGTATGTGGTTGAATTGTAAAGGAGACTTCCAAGGGATTTCGAGTGTTTATGGTGAAGTTTTTTCTTTCTTTCTTTCTTTCTTTTTTCCTTTGGATCTTATCATATTTGACCCCAAAAATCATTAATTTGAACGGTTGAAATTTACCTTGAAAGATTAGTTCATAACTTAAGCATTGCGCTCGAAATTTGTTTAAGAAAAATAAATAAAAATCAAGTTTTAATTATTGATTTTTACTCAGATCTCATTAATGGAAGAATTATGAAAGGAGAAACTAGAAGCATTTTTTATCATATTTTAACCAATAATATATGTTCAAGGTATCTTGTCGGAAGTAATTTAAGAATTTTGGGAATAAAGTAACTTCATACTCGAGGAAAATAAGCTATATTCCCAAGGAAAATCTCCCTCAAGTGGTTTCTTGGGTTTGAAGAACAGAGTTGGATTTAAATCTTAAACTGGCAAGAATAGAGAATCTCCAACGAACCCCGGAAAATTATAAACTGTCCAATGCATTTGACACCCGACAATTCCTGGACTCTAATAAAAACTGTCCCAGTTTACCTGAATTTCCAAAGAACACTAAATCGTTTAGCCACCGAACAAATTAAAGAATGTGATGGACCAATCTTTTTAGTGAACATAGATTGGTTTCATATCCTTGAAATACTTTCCATTTAGTGGAAGGCAGATTGATTGAGCATATTATATTCCACATATTCCAGAAGTTCTTCAAATACAGTACCCATATCATTTGGTCAATTGTGAAATTAAGCCAGTTCAGTATAATTACTTCCACAGAAACATTTGCATTGACAGTTTAGCAAAGCAACAGTTTGTTTAGAAGAGCAAGTATCACGTAACATGAAGATCCAGATGTCGCACAGTTGTGAACGTATCAGTAGTGTTCTGTGATGTATAAACAGGAGCTCGATAAGAAAAACTTCAAGAAAATCTCAAGAATTCTATGATGTATAAACAAAAGCTCAAGCTGTTGGCGATTAATTTTTTAGCAGCTCAAGGCTTCCAAGCTGGAGGAGGTGGAGGGTTTGGAGGGTAGAGCGGTGGAACTGCTGAAAAGATTGAATTCTTATCGATGCCAATCCCACCACTGCTTGTCAAGGATGCAAGCGCAGCAACTAGTCCTGCATTTCCAGCTAAAGTTGGCTCGGTAAAGTTGTAATTAGTGCGAACATCACGGAACCGATCAAACCTATCAGGCCCTCCAACCATGGCTCCTGTAATGTTGTGAGGATTGGGCTTGGAGCTGTCACGCCACTTCCATCCGCCTGTGCACGAATACCTTGTGTTGTCACTGGGTGTTGATGCTCCACGGTGATGAATATGTCTGGGAAACTTTGTCCCGTACCCTACCACGTAGCTCATTTTCATGGGGTTATCACCTAGAATGTAGTTGATCTGTGTTGAAAACAATCACGGGGAAGATTAGTCTACTAGGAGATAAAAAGAGTGCATGAGGCAATTTCAAGAAGAACAACTGTATTTTGTGGCTGAGGCATAGCCTAATTGATATTACAACATCCGTCTGAAGAGGAGTTACGAAAGTTGAAATTCCCCTGCCCAAAAACTAACAAATCATTTGGTGCCAATCTGAAACTGGCTAGCTTTCTCACGAAGCTTGTTGCATGGTATATGACTCTGATCAGCTGTGCATATCAGCAGTTCTTTCTCTAACCAATTCCTACTCTGGGACTGCCTATTAGAGTTGACTTGGCAATATTGGATATTTATCAGCTAGCAAGTTACTCTATCCTGAAACAGAAAGATTCAGAAGAAAAGGCTACCTGTGACGTGGCGAAACTCCGAAGAAGGTCCAGTGAGATAAATCTGGGGCCACAATTGAATCCTGGAATTCTGGTGGCATTCAGATAATCGACATAGAGTGATGCTAAGAAGGCAGCATTAGCCACATACTGAAGAGGTTGTGGCCTTCCATGGTTCAGTTGGATCATTCCTCCTGCAAAATTTTGACAACACGTCAGAAAAATCACCAAAAAAGGAAGAGAAAAAGTTAAAATTACTGGCACGTGATCCATTGAAGCAAATAGTATCACTTAGTCACATGGTTAAAGAGCGGGATCCGATGTATGTACCTTTAGTCCAGTTGAATACATTGAATTGCTGAAAATAAGAACACATGTTAAGTTCTGTCTTCTTATGATAACTGTGCAACATCTCCTCATATGGATATCCTGGATTCAAGAATATCCTGTACCTTGTCAACAGCAGCATAGCTGCTGGTAACTTGTTGTCCCAACTCAGTACACTCAAGTCAGAAATACTTAAAAGTGCCTTGGAGTGCCTAGAGAAGCCTGGTTCAGTTGCCAGTCTAATGTAGGAAATGTTTCCTGTGGCATAGTACAGCCAAGTAGCACCCCAAATGTACTCATCATAATAGCCACTGGAGTTGTAGTAAGGTTGAATGTAATCATTCCCAGAAGAATATGCTCTCCGTCTTCCACCATCTCTGGCAAAGGCATATACTGTCTCTGCACCTCTTACAAGCTTTTTTGAATAGGCCTCATTGTCCCGGAATACTATTGAGGCTGCAGCCAAGGCTGCTGCCATTTCTCCGGCAAGGTCAGCGCCTGAATTTACAACTTGGGTAGGCCTCGGATAGTCCATATCTTCAGGTCTTTGCCAGCAGTAATGATCATCTGGAAGTCTCGAGCCATTTCGAGATCCACCAACCTGGGGGAGAAACATGGAAATGTTACACTAACAAGCAACGGTATAATGGCTTTGAAGTCTTAATAAATGGAAATATTGTCAGGCGCACATAACGTTCATTCCGAATTAAGAATATTACCTGGCAGTAAATCTTGTCAATTTTGCTGGCACTGGAGTTGAAGGTTAATAGCAAGTAATCAGTTCCCCACCTGATTAGATCTCTGGTATGCTGGTACTCGCCAATGGCCTCATACTTCTGTCTGTATTCAATGACACTCCAGCTCAACATAGTCATGGCAAATGCCATGGGAAAATGAAACTTGGTGTTGTCTCCAGCATCATAGTATCCTCCAACAAGACCTGCTTTAGAAAAATCAGTACCATTTCCATCCTGTAGCCCTGAATCTCCTCTCCATGGAATTCCGTTGTTCTTGTGCAATTTACCAGCTGCACAACACATTCAATGATGGTACTCTCAGTCAACACTTGTCAATTCTATAATAGAACTTCAGTGCACAGCCTACCAATGGCTAATTATAAAACAAACTGTTCTTCGAAACTGTTTATCAGCTGGTGAGTACTACTAATACAATAATTTATTTCTATATAATACATGCCAAAATTTGTTTTATTGTGAGCAAAAAGTAATTAATTGTATTTGTTAATGGTAAGAAACTTAAAAGTAAAAGAAGCTGCTGATAATCAGCAAATGGTATCTCAAGGTCCTGTCGAAACCATCGTTTTATTTATTTATCTATTCGAAACACAACATATATATGAATTAAATTATCCCAGCTAATTAAACAAATTCACATAATAATTTACATCCGAATGACTTGTTCATCGAATTCCCATCTTAGAGTGGCTTAATTAGCAGTAAAACTCTAAGCTTCCATGGGCAAAACACGAAATCAAGAGTGTGAGATGAAACTCGTAATTAGACACGAAAGCCAGAGTATCTTAATATAAATATGTAAAGATGATGAAATATGTCTTTTTTTCCCAATCATTTTCATTGTTTCAATCCGAATTATTTAATTTGTTATCATAATAATTTGAAATATCACTTTTAAAATCACTCGGTAGACCACAATTACTACAGAACTAACCCTCTTGGAAAAGAAAAAAAGAAAAAGAAAAGCTGTAACGTTTGACTTGACTTACATTTTTGGGCATTGAAGAAGAGAAGAGCCTTTCGGAGGGCAAGAGTGTAATTGTCAGGAGGAGGAGGCTGAGAGTTGTGCTTTGGCAAAGTCTTGACTACGATGGTAGGGAGTGCAATAACAAGAAGCGCAAAAACAAAAGCATATAGAGTCCACTTCAAGGCTTTATGGCTACAGGCTACGCAACCCAAGTCCACGTACTTCTTTTTCTTGGTCTCTTGAGGGTACAATAACCAGCTCTGTTGTGTCTCGTCTAGATGGTGATGCTGGGGTTGCAAGGCTGCCTTGTCCCACTCCATGTTGCGACTCTTGTCATCGTCGGTTGTTGATTCTGTTCCATTGTAAATCTCCAGCGACCCTCCCCAGTGATTTGCTGAATGCATTTTTCTTGTTTTCTTTTCTTCTTCGAGGTTATGTTTCTAGTGAGTGCAATAACAGTTATTCTCCCTTGCTGTAACTCATGTAAGCAAAGGTGGTGGAGAAAGAGAGGTCTGATGATCAAAGAGGAATCAAAGATTGCCGATGTATTTGATATAATAGATGACTGAAAAGAAGAAGAAGGAGGGGCTGCAGGTTTTTACCTTGTGGGCAGGGAAGGAGAAAGAGGAAGATATATAGATGGCCGGCCACTGATTACCAGTTGGAAATCGCTTACAAAAGTGATGAATATTGATGACACTGGAAGAAACCAATATTCTCTATGGCAAGAGAAGTTTCTCGGGGGGGGAAAAACTGGCCTCTCTGTATCCCAGCCTCTCTCTCTCGCATCATTCTCTGGCATAAATACTAGTCTACCAGCGTTAATTGAAATTCAGGGGCTCGAATGGGAGGAGAGGGAGAGAGAGAGAAAGCGAGGCGTTGACTATGACTAAATAAATCTAACATGGTTGCGGTGCTTATTCAGAGATTAATTTAATCCAACTGTGATATAAAATTGATTGCCTTGTTTCTTCTGCATGGAAGAATTGATGCTTTTTAATTTAAAGGACATATATGTCAATTACTTTTTTAATATATATATATCTGAATTTGTGAAGAAGAATGAGATAATACATGAGATATGTAAAGGGATTTTCTTAGATTAATTTACATTTCAATTAAAGATTAAATCTCGTTTTTAAATAACTTCAGAGGCATTTTTTTCTCCATCGTGCTAATATCAGCGAAGAATTTAATAAATATTTCCAATTTTATTTTCTGCAGCCGGATCTTGTTGACCAGTTCGGTGGGTGGTGTCTGTCTGTCTGTCTGTCTGGCCAGGCAGCCAGCTCCCTTTTCCATTTTTTCACTCGTATGCTTATAAGGCTATCTCTCTTTGCTGGTTTTTTTTTTTTTTTTTAATTTAATTTTTTATTCAAACCTGCTGTGTCCCCCATGTTTCTCTCGTTTCTTCATTGGATTACGTGGCTTTTAAATTAAACCCCCAAGTCGAATGTGCATGCACGTTACTTGTCATCGGGCTTTGATTCTTTCATATAGAGAAATAGTGTTTGATTTTTTTAGATTCTCTCGTAATTAAGTGTTTCAATTTTAACTTCAGTTCTTCAATTGGATTGTTCTTTTCGTTTAATGATAATACAACCAAATATCTCAGTTAATAAATAAACAAAACCCAATTCGTTTAATTTTTTTTTTGTTTTAAATTAATATATTCTTGATATTCTTAAATTATTTTAATATATTAATCTTAAAAATAATTTTTAAAAATAAAAAAATATTATTAATATATTTTTTTAAATAAAAAATATTTTAAAAATAATCATAACTACACTACCAAATATATACTTGTGGTTATAACATGGACACAAGAAAAAAAACTATTATGATACTTTGACCTACTAAAAAAACCCAGAATTCAAGATTGTAGAGATTAGTTATGACCTGTAGTTCAAGACTATAGAAATTAATTATAAATCATTTTCCTTGAAGTAATTGGCCCGTAGAGCTTTAAAATCTCTGTACAGTGCATTATTTGTAATAAACTAAGATTTAGATAAAATAATTAAAGAAAAAATGGGTAGTGACCGCCCGAGGGGAGAATGTTCAACTCAGCGGAGGAGTTTAACAGGCTCTTCTTTAAATTAATCAGGGCCTATGAGCTGTAATCAGTAGTGGTTAAAGCATGGACAATGACGGGTCCAGGCGCTCCAGCTTGCGCAAACACAAATAACCATGCCCACTGTTTGCTAAGACCTACAAAGTCAAGACAAACCAGCCATTCGACACCATGCCGTCACTTTGACGATCGGAAGGCCGGAGGAACGTCCTCTTCAAGGACCTCATGTGTCGAGCCAGACGGTTTGATCTTAAGGCTTCATTCAGCGAAGGGAAGCGTTCAAGAGATACCTAAAAATGAATTCATATATTAATAATTAATTATATAGATTTGGTGGGTATCAAGAAAGTCAGCCATATCTGTAATCTTTTACACAAATCCCGCCACAACCATATGCTTGTGCTGTTGGTTTTCGCCATGGATGCCGCAGCTGGACGCCCCTTGCAATTTATACAGAGCCCGGCGCAGACGCAAAGAAATCGTGCTATTTTTCTTCATAAAGCTACCACCTTGACTATTTATAAATATGTTTCACGTTATAATAGTTTTATGATTGTGATTTGAAAAATTTTTTTGATTAAAAATATTTTTAGTTGAAGTTAAGTTATTAAAATATATATTTGATAAAAATTATAATTAAAATTAAAGTTAAATAAAAAATAATTTAATATATTTAAGTAAAAATATTTTTTAAATTGAGATTGTAAAATAATTAAAAAGATATATATTAGTATTGATGATTTTTAATTTAAATATTATAGATTTAACTGTTATTATTACATCATGAAATAAATAATACTTTATATAAAATATTTTTATTATTTTATTAAATTATCTATAATTTTATTAGATATGAAATCTATCTGGCAAGAATTATGTTTTTCATAATTTTTTAACCATGTAATAACATCAAGTTCTCTATAACTTGAGATTTTTTCTATTTAGTTTTTTTTTATATATAATTGACATCACATGAAAAATTATTTAATTGTTACTATAATATATGGTATAAATTAGTAATATAAAATAGTGGCGGTGTAATAATAAAAGTGAAAAAATTGAAAACAGAGGAGAGACAGGGAAAGAGAATAAATAAATAAATAAAAATAGAGCTGACTTAAATTTTATTGTAATATTTGATTCCCTCATACACTAATATCTAAAATATTTTTAGATGGATTCTATCAATAGCTTAGGAGATTGTGACTAAGAGGAGCAATTAACAAAAAGGAGAAGGGTGGCATTCAGGAGCTTCCGAAAGGGATGCTTGGCCAAATCAGATTTGATTGAAGGTGGAGTTGATTATGTTATTGTGGCCATTGTTGCTGACCACAATGAAGAAGGGAGGAATTGTTAGCTGTCGGTTGGAGGATGAGAGTCTTTTGTGTTGTTGATGGTGAAGAGTTGCTTGCTACGAGTTGAAAGAAAGGGCTTAGTATTGATAGTAGATATGTTCTTTACTGTTTACATAAACAGTTAGCGGATAGGGAAACATAAAAATATAAAGTGCTGGATGAGAACATGGAAAAATTATTTCACCAAAAATTAAGGTTAAATCTTATTTTTAGTAGATTCCATGAATCGAACCATAATTTTATTTTATAACTAAACACTATATTATTAAGTTTAAACAAAAATATAACAGCTATTATAAAGAGAAACGATATCTAACTGTTTAAAATATAGATTAAGAATGCTAATTCATACTATTTTTTTTATATAAATATTGTATTATTGTAACGGTTGTTTTTTAAAATATTGTTTTTAATAAAAAGCATGCAAATTAATCCAATACTCTTTCAAGTTTCAAGTCCCTTAATCTCATTTAATTAAAATAAATGGTTTTATCACCGCATGTATGGCATTACTACTGCAGGGCAGGTGAAGCATCTAATTTAGCATCTCCTTTTATATTACATGTGTTTTGTGATTAAGACAAGAGAAAAATCCTCAACTAACGGCTGACCTTTCACGATGTCATGTAAGGTATGCCGTCTAGATTAATTTATCAGGAATTTCTTGAATACCTCACTTCTAGGAATTTGGTGCTCTTCAGTGCATGATAGCTGACAAACCGAGGAGAAATTTGAGGATTATGAAAAGAGGATGTTGCTATTAATGAAGAAGAAATCTCACCGGACAACTAGTTTATTCTAAGAATTGTTAGTAGTTTCGGATGCAGCGGCCAAGTAACCATGTCAAGAATGTTGAAAAAACATTTTTACACTCCCGAAAGCGAAATGAAAATTTCATCATTTGATGCTTACGGCTTGTTCTTAGCCTAAACAGGGGAGAAATAGGCATGGCGACTCTGTTCATAGGTACTCTGTAATACCCTGCCGCCGCCGCCGCCGCCGCTAGTATGAAGAAAAATTAACTGGGTGTCGATTCTGTTGATGTTAGAGCAAACAAATCTCAAATTACTCGCCACAGGGCACTCCATACAGCAGGGAAGGAACGGAACAACTCACAAAATATGTCTTTGATTTCATATTCCAGAAGAAGAGAAAAAAACTGAAACCTGTAGATTTTGCAGATTCTAAAATTAGCCTGTTTTAGAGAAATTAAGGTTAAATCTTATTTTTAGTAGGTTCCATGAATCAAATTATAATTTTATTTTATAACTAAAAACTATATTATTAAGTTTGAACAAAAATATAACAGCTATTACAAAGAGAAATGATTTTTAACGGTTTAGAATATAGATTGAGAATGCTAATCCATACTATTTTGCTTTATAAATATTGCATTACTGTGATGGTTGTTTTTTAAAATATATATTTTTTATATTAATAGATTAAAACTATCAATTTTTTTTTTTTGTAATTTAAACAAACAATGTTTTGATGGCAATGCCATCCACACTCTAATAAGACAAGAGAAGGGCGTGAGTGCTATGCATTTTATATCCAATGTCTCAAACTCTAACATTTATTTCTTCACGAGGATATAAAAAACATGCAAATTAATCCAATACACATAAAAAATTTTAAATTTTTTTAAAAACATTTTAAAACTACAAAAACAAATAGGGTAAGATGTAATTTATTGGTTGTGAAAAAATTAAAAAAGATTTCAAGAGTTGAAAAGTAAGGGGATGAAAGAAGCCATGTGAAATCAGGACATGCCAACGAGCTTAAATTGAGGTGCTAACTAAAACATTGTGGTTGATCACATTAAAAAAACAAAAACAAAGAATGAGTCTCCACATGGTTAGTTTTCAATCTGATAAACGTCATACGTTATTGACCGAGCCAAACTTCTTTAAGAGACATTTTTCAATTTATTTATAAAGAGACTCGAGCAATATTATAACGACTGACTTTGATCGCATCAAGCCACTTATAAATAAATAAAATAAAATAAGATCAGATCATATCATATTAATAAATATAAACACCATATTGGTTGCTCTAAAGTTCCATTATACGTCACTCGTTCTTCTTCGTTCTTTTCCCTCCAACATGTTAAGAAAATTAAAACATGACGATCAAGATAATACTACCTCTTCATTGTTTACTGGGACAGTATTTGTTTTAGCCATAATATTGGGGTTATTAAGAAGTATGCTTAGTTCAATCTAGATTTTAGCTTGATTAATTCTTTTTTTAAATTGATTTAATTATTAACTCGGTTAAATTTAGATATTGTATGAATGGATTCATAATTTAATTGATCAAAAGAAAGTCAACTTAATTTTTTTTATTTGTCCCAATCACTTTTTAAATTTTTATTCCAAATGTCGTTTTATTTTTTTAAAAAAACTACTAAAACAATCATCTAGA